AAAGACCCAATAAATTCAAAAGTTTCATTTATCAACATCTTAAAAAGCACAATCATCCTATTAAATATTTAACAGTTCAACCTTTAGAAGTAGTAAATAAGCAGCCTGGTGAATCTCATTCAAAGTTTGTACGATCGCGGAAAATAATTGAATTAAATTGGATTAAAAAATTACAGACAGTCTATCCTCTCGGTCTTAATGATAATATCATGGGAATTGGTAATATATCAAGAACCGATTCTGTTAACATTTTGGATATAGTTTCTAAAACTGTTCGTAAAAACCGTTCTCATGGGCGTAGAAAAAATCGCAATCAAAGAAAATTTCGGACCAACCATACAAATATTTCGGACCTAATTTCTATTTCAAAAAACAACGGCAGACATTATCTATTAACCAAGCTCTGTTCTTTACCTATAAATAAATTAAATAAAATTTTAGAGGATTGCAACACAATTTCATATTGCAGTCCTAAGTATGAAATCGTTCAAATTATAATGGCATATTGTTATTCTAAACTGTTTCCCAAAATTGATCGCCCTGAAGATCATAAAAAACATTTTATTAAAATAAAGTATGTCAATAAAGGTTTTGATTTTGTAAATATTGCCGGTATTTTTAACGACCATTCTGTTAAAGAACAAATTCCTGGATAGTTTGATAATACTGAACTCCCTCTTATTTGTTATATTTACAAGAAATCTACCCGAAAATTTGTGTTTAATTATAGCCAAGTCTGTAAAGATGTAAATATCAGTGAAAATACACCTCCGTCATGTAATTGTAGTAATTCCGAATACACTTATGGCCCCATTTCCCATGTTATAACAGGAGACCTTAACATCGTTCGCGACCGAGAGTTAAAATCATTCCTCAGTAAAGGACCTAAATATCGTCCCCCGTCAATTATTAATTGGAACGAGTGTCGTAATATCACTCACGACTCACTTCGTGCTTACTGTTTGAAATGGATAAAACGGGAAAAGGCTGACAAAAAAATCTTGGGACCCTTTTTTTAATTCAGTAATGAAGATAGTTGATATACGTATACAACATTTTAAAGAACATTTTACTCTTAACAACAACCATAAAAATCCTATCTCTCGTATCAAACATAAACTAAAAGAACTAGCCAAGAAATTTGTTTTTGTCCCGGCTGATAAAGCTGTTAATAATATCATTATAGTTTGACGTAAATTTTACATCGAGGTTCTGCAAAAGGAAATCACGAATTCACCAACATTCCAACTGACTTCATTTTCAGAAAATGATATCTGTAACAAACATAAACTATTAGCTACTTCTTTACAAGCAGAACCAAATACAATGAAATACCCAACTATGTACTGGCTTCCGAAGCTACACAAATCACCTTACAAATATAGATTTATTTCGTCTTCAAGTCATTGTTCCACTACTAAATTGTCTATTCTACTTACTAGTACACTTGGTACAATCAAAAACCTGATAATAAATTGTTCAAATAAGGCCTTTGAAAATAGTGGAATTAACTACTTTTGGAGTGTCAAAAACTCGTTGGAAGTACTTGATAAATTGCATGCATATATTGGTGATTTTGAATCTGTTCAAAGTTTTGATTTTTCTACCCTATATACCACTTTGTCTCATATTCTTATTAAGAAAAAATTCACACACCTAATTAAATGGGCATTTAAAAAGTCGGAATGCGAATACATATGTTCAAACTCTTTTAGGTCATTTTTTAGTAGCAACAATAAAAGAGCTATGTCAATTGGACATGCTTTGATACTATATCTGCCCTTGAATTTTACTTGATAACATTTTTGTTCGCTTTGGAGATTCCGTATATCGTCAAGTTATCGGAATTCCAATGGGGACTAACTGTGCACCACTTATTGCGGACCTGTTTTTGTATTGTTATGAGTTACAATTTATGACTAAAATCAGCAAAGACCCATCGAAACAACATCTGATACAAAAATTTAACAATACTTTTAGATATTTGGATGATATATTGGCTCTCAATAATGACAACTTCAGTATGTATACTAAAGAAATTTATCCTGTTGAACTTACTTTAAATAAAGCTAATACTAACAATGACCACTGTCCTTTCCTCGATCTTGATATCTATATCATTAACGGGAAGCTTAATACCAAAATTTATGATAAAAGAGATGATTTTTCATTTCCTATCGTTAATTATCCATTTTTAGATGGTGATGTTCCACTAAACCCCTAACAGGAGGGATTGTGCCTGATATTCATATGATGAAGACATAATCTTTCAATCAGTTTAATTGAGGTCTGGAGCTGGCATGTCAGTAACTGCTAGTAGTCTGTTGTTATTTATGTATTATTGTCATTTTGTTTATTTTCTTTTGTTTCCTATTCTGACATCGGACTCGGACTTCTCTTAAACTGAGTTTTACTGTGCGTACTGTTGTACGTTTGTTTTTCTACATTGGCTAGAGGTATAGGGGGAGGGTTGAGATCTCAAAAAACATGTTTAACCCCGCCGCATTTTTGCGCCTGTCCCAAGTCAGGAGCCTCTGGCCTTTGTTAGTCTTGTATTATTTTTAATTTTAGTTTCTTGTGTATAATTTGGAGTTTAGTATGACGTCCATTATCACTGAACTAGTATACATATTTGTTTAGAGGCCAGCTGAAGGACGCCTCCGGGTGCGGGAGTTTCTCGCTGCATTGAAGACCCATTGGTGGCCTTCGGCTGTTGTCTGCTCTATGGTCGGGTTGTTGTCTCTTTGACACATTCCCCATTTCCAGTCTCAATTTTATTCTTCTTCTGTGTGTATAAAATCTTCCGTTTAGGAATACCAAGAAATTTCTTTAATATCAATAAAACTAATCTAACACTTGGTACATATGGGGTGAATATCAACAATAAAACTATACAATTAGTGCTAGATAAAACTTCCTGTACAGGTGCAAGAACATTATTTAAGGAGAAATGAAATAATTTTGATGTTCATAGTACGAAGAAGTGAAAATTTGTAGTAATTCCAAATAATCAAAGCTGGTATATAAACAAGATCCATGTTAACATTAAATAACAAAAAAAAGCATTACAACTAGTATCAACAGGTCAAATTAACAAGAAAGTACGATTTGAGAGTACTCACAGCTAGTTAAAAGCCAAAACAATTAATAATAAAAAATCATGCATCAGAGACTGAAATCAACTAAAACACATCCCAGGAATTTAGTATTTTAACGTCATGAACAGTCAAAGAAGACATGACTAGTGCAATGCCAAAAATAAATGTATCGACAGGTAGTAAGATAGTTAGGAGTGACTTCTTTATAGATAAAAATGAACGTGTGTGTGTCTCTATACATCCCGTTTGAAAAGAAAAATGTAAACTATATTCAGAGATCTAATTACAACATCGGTACGATAACCCTTACTAATAAGTTTGTTTAAAGGTTCGATGAGTTTACACGGATCACGTATAGATTAGGCTTTGGCGTATTGTTATTCTATTGCAACCGATACGACATCCCCTCATTTTGAAAAAAAAATATCAAACGAACACTAATTTCATTGCTACTGCAAGAGTTCATATTTTATCTATTTTTCTATTCAGTACTCACAGTATATATCTAGACTTTTAACATCTGCCCTTAATGGTAGTATACTACTCTACAAACAGCAGGCGATGCATAATGATTGTTTTTCGTTTATTGTTGTAATATATGAATCGGGTCGTTGGTTTTTTCTTGTGTTTTTTATCGCATTTGTTCATCCTGGTGTCCATTAGATTGACAAACATTCTGTCCGCAGGGTCTTCAGAAATACTGTGAAAATGTTAACTCGTGTAGTGTTATTAACTTACCATATGTGGATTCTTAAAAACTCTAAAGAACTTGTTGATAATTTTAAATTGCGTTCTTTCTCTGAAATTAATTTTACCAAAACTTTTGATTTTCAACCCCGTATACCACTATTCCCCATGTAAAATTGAAAAATCGTTTAAAAGAAATAATCGACAATGCTTTTCAATATAAAAATGGTAGCATACGGCTATAAATGTATTACTTTGGGATACCATATGCCATATTTTGTTAACAGTGATCAAATAGGTAAAACATGCTACACAGAGGAACAAGTGATCAGTATGCTGGAGTTTCTTATTGCCAGCATTTTTGTTGAATTTGGAGGTAAACTTTTTCAACAAATTGTCGGCATTGCTATGGGAACGAACTGTGCGCCTCTCCTTGCCGACCTCTTCTTTATTTTCATATGAATCGGAGTTCCTTCAGACACTTGTCAAAAACAAGAAGATCAAAGAAGCCAGATCATTTAATTTCACATTCAGATACATTGATGATGTTCTTTCCATTAACAATGCAAACTTTTCTGATTGGGTTCCATTAATATATCCTGCAGAACTAGAAACTGAAGAAAAAACAGACTGGCACGGCTTCCTCCGCCTCATTTTTATACTTATACCTCGAATTTGACATTATCGGTCATCTTACACAGGGACAGTCTATACTAGTAAAAAGTCCCTGCTTAGTACCAGAATCTATGATAAACGAGACGATTTTAATTTTGAAATTATAAATTTCCCCCACCTTAGCAGCAACATACCAACTTCACCTGCATATGGGATATACATTTCCCAAGTGATACGGTATTCAAGAGCTTCTGCAGCTGCTACTCATACTTTATAAAACGTCACCAGTGTCTGAGCAGAAAGTTGATAAACCAGGGTAATGTCAAAGGACGTCTCGTCCTTTTTCTAAATAGTTCATCGGAAGATACCGGGGCAAGACCTTGTTTTAAAGAAATATATATATTTATTTTTGAATCGATGGATTTGAAAAAAGGGGGGTCCAATCCTCAAGCGCCTGTGGGTCTAATGGATAAATGTTTAAGTTCCAGGTTTTATAGAATTATAGAATAATCTGGGGTTATAGTAGTCTCATATTGATCTTGTGCAGTGATAAAGGAGACGACAAGCTTTTTAAAAAAGCAAAACTTGTATGTATTTTGTAGGGGAGGTAATTCTATACAAACAACTATCATGTGACTACTTACTTTGACAGAAAACAATTTCTTCCGAATTTTGAACTATGACATGGGCACTGACAATACAAGGAAATTAAAAACGTGAAAATTTCAATTTAACAATTTAAAATGCCTGAACAAATAACAGAAACAGGAGCAACCTACTCCAGACTGGTAAAACTTATATAAATACCGATATTTAAGTATTTCAAAGATAATTTGTCATTTCCCCCAACTTATTTTTACAATTTTTATTCATTTATTGGTGCATGGAGTGGAAAAAGGTCATGTCTTGGAGACCCAAAAATGCCATGGGGGAAAATAATCGGCCTTCTTTTACTTTAGGGGTCTCAACCCATATAGAGCTGTACTAAACTATCCTTTACCCTAAACCTTACCCTAACCCAAACCTAAACCTAACACTAGCGCTAACCCTAAAACCTAACCCTAACCTAGAACATCCCCTAACCTTACCATAACCATGAATGAACCATAAACCCTAAAGTAAAAGAAGGCCAACTAATCAAATAATCACATAAAAAATGTATGGTGGAGTTTCTCTGTCTAGACACAATCAACAGGTTTTGTTTGCTGCCTGGGGGGCTTGAAGAATGAAAGGTCCAGTGTATAACAGCTGTGTAAAGAATAGGAGATTTGGTTGTAAAAAGTCAAAGGTTCACTTCCAGAAACACAAGTTCAGGACCTCAGACCCACACTAATTTCAACTAATCCTTGGATGCCTACCAAAATACAGAATGAAGCATAAGTTTGCACACAAATATACGACAAAGATGAATTAATTCAATTTTCCGCTGCACAGATCAGAAAACATTTATGTAAATTAATGTTCTAAATGTCATGAATGTATAATCAAATTCATAAAAATTTAATTCCCCTTAATTATGTACATGTAATAGTATACTTAGCCTATAGGCACCTGTTGTCACAACCATACATGTAAATTCATTAATTGCATTTGTAAAAATAATGTTAAAATTGCAGATGAACCAAGCAACTATAAGATTCAAGATTTTATTGACCAATCATGGACCCTCATTGAAGGGGCATATATTCAAAATATAACATTTTCACAATGATTATCATAGCATAAGAAATTAATAAAGATGCACTGGTAGTGCACAAATGATTGTAAAAAAAGAAGCAAACAATATATTCAAAACATTCATGATTTATTGTAAAATTACACATTGTAAAAAAAAGTTCACATTCCCATGATTGGAAAAGAATTTGATAACAAGTGGTACATGTATATAAGTACTGTATATGGTGTTACAGTTACTGATAATGGTAATAGCTACAGTTATTAGTATATATGTTGTGTACAAGTTGTAATGTTGTACAAATTATAATTTATACAGATTTTTTGTACAAGTTATCAGTGTTTTATGAACCACTAAACACAAATGGATGATGCAAGCACACAGTCTTTAGTTTCGCATATTTCTGTCATATTTCCACAACTACATGATACAGTCTAATACTGAGCAATGATACAAAAACATTATAAGAACACAAAAAGACTTTTTATGGATATGATTTTGGTATAAGGAGAAAAATAAAATTGGAATTTAAACCATTCAGGTGTCCTCATTTCCAGTTTCAGGACAAAGAGAATAGCACAAAATGTTAGGTTGAAGTATATAAATTTGAATTTAAGACATAAAACTGATATATTTTAGAAGATAAACTTTTATTACCTGGTGCAAGAAGGTATGTGTCAAAATAGTTACAAATTGTACAAAAACCCTGTACAAATTATAATTTGTACAAACTTACATCTTGTACACAACATATACATTGTATACTTAACCCATCAACACCAACACAAGTGAATAAACTAGGATCCTTTATTAAAAAGTCTATAGAACTGAGGACGGGGAACCCTTTAATATTTACTTGCACCTGTATATATATATATATTGAGTTACTTAGTTATTGTCTTCATTTGTTTTGTTATATGTCACAAACTGTAAAGTTTATATGGCAATAAAATATTGAATTGAATTTATATACCTCAGAGCAAGGATTTGTATAGTTACTATACAAATCCTTGCTCAGAGTCAATATCAAGCAATCATAATAGAGCAATTAACAATACATATTTTTAATTCCAGGTTGGTTTGATATACATATTTAATCTGATTGTGGGAACTGGTGCCCTTACTATGCCAAATGCCTTCTCCACTTCTGGATGGTTACTTAGTCTAATTACTGTGATTTTATTGGCCCTAATAAGGTAATATAAGTAGTGAATAATTAAATGGTTATCCGTATTCTTTCTGGGTCAGTAAATATATGTTTGTGTAATAGAGGCATTGATACAATGTACTATACTGCAGCTTTAAGAATCAAAGTAGCCAAGGTCCTAATAAATGTATGGTATTGATTTCATGACTCGAGATATCAGTTGAAGCCTCAAAATTTTCTTCTTCAGAATTTTCTTGTGAAGAGACATCTCAGATCTCTTAATTATTATTACATGTATGAAAAGAAATCTCCAAATTTCTCCTTCTTTCATCGCTTTTTTTCGTTATATGTAGTAGTTTGTTCTTGTCCCCTTCTTACGGACATGTCTGCTTGCCCCAAGTCAATAGGTGTGGAAATACTAGTAGTCTCTGATCAGCTCGCGGCTTTAAAAACTAGCAAATACTGGCACCATTATTTGAACAAAGCCTTTATGATTGAAAATTTATCTATATCATTTGTAAACACAATCGTTTTAACTCATATAGACCTTTCAGTGCTTATGGTACATTGAAGAGACTTATGCTTACTTGAACTGCAGGGTTCTCACTAAGGATTTTTGAAGGCTAGTCCAGGGACTCCTCATATTTGGCATCAGGTGAATCCAAAAGTGAGAAAGTCAAATTGTATTGCTATAATTCACAATGTCAGTCTCCATGACAAAAAAAGAGCAAGGAAATGACATCAAATTTAGACTATTTTAAACTTTTGATATAAAATGATGATATATGTGCTCAGTTGATACAACATTTTACAATCTTGATGCATCTTTGGACTCACCACTTTTGAAAATGATGAGTCCAGACAGATTTTCATGAGTCCAGGACTCATGGACTCACCTAAGTAAAACCCTGCTTGAAGAACCTTATGAATGAACTAATGTTTAATAAGTTCTTTAAAGTTTTAGCTTCTAAACATGAATGTTTTGTTGCTTTAGTTAGTGAAACTATTCTAATTCTGCTTATTTTTCTGTCGTTTCAGTTATTTGACAGTTACTTTTGTTACAGAAACAATGGCTATAGCTAATGCTAAGATCAAGATTGGACAGAGGGTTTGTAATTATATACTAAGGTCACATTGAATTGATTAAATGTTTTTTGACTAGATCCCATAAAATTTCCTGAATTTTTTTTAACTTAAGTGCCTCTTTTTTCTCAACTTTCACTCCAGTAAAATCTAGAAATATTTAGATAAAAAGCAATAAAAGAAACGTATCACTAGCCCAAGGCTTTTTTAGCGAAAAAAAAACTTCCAAGAACAAAGAAATTTGATGTAGTCTATTTTTAAAGTCCTAAATCATTATAAATAGGATGGATAGACAATGTATTTCTTCTTTTCTGTATTCTTCTTACAAAAGAAATGAAAACATGTTATTAATTTCATGCGTCCGAAGCGCTTTTCTGGATAATTTACCTTCTTTAGGAATGCTAAAAGATGAATATTTGAAAGCCAAGGATGTATAAGAACCGAAACAGTTACAGAGATATATGACCAAAAAGTACCTAAAAAATATCCAAATTCATCTAAGGTCAACTTTGCCTGAGGGATATATACAAATATACAATGAGCACACCTTAGCGGCAAAATAGTGTACATTTAAAAAAAAAAACAATATTAAAAAGATAAATACCCCCCTCCCCCCCAAAAAAAAAATATACATATTTTTATATTATTCAATAGATAGCTGTAAATATGGTCAATGAATCTTATGATGAGGAAACATCAGAAAAAGAACCTTTGCTAGGAAATTCATCCACAGGTAAGGGAGAAAAAAACACTGCTAGAGAACTCAACTGCAGGTAAGGGAGAAAAATCACTGCTAGAGAACTCCTCTGCAGGTAAGGGAGAAAAAACACTGCTAGAGAACCCAACTGCAGGTAAGGGAGAAAAAAACACTGCTAGAGAACCCAACTGCAGGTAAGGGAGAAAAAAACACTGCTAGAGAACTCAACTGCAGGGAATTGAAAAAAAACACTGCTAGAGAACTCAAATGCAGGTAAGGGAGAAAAAACACTGCTAGAGAACTCAACTGCAGGTAAGGAAGAAAACACAGCAAATAAGCAAGAAAAAAAAACAGTGCTAGAGAATTCATCCACAAGTAAGACAGAAAAAAAACCTGAAGGAGATATCAGTTGCAGATAAGCAAGAAAACTAGAGAAACTCATCCACAGGTAAGAGAGAAAAAACAAACCACAGACCCAGAGAATTCAGTTGCAGGTAAACAAGAAAAAAAACTACTGCTAGAGAATTCATCTGAAGTTAAGAGAGAAATACATAGTTAGTTAGAACTGGTAGAACTGGTATTAAAATATTGTTTAGCTCACATAGCCCAATGAGCTATAGCAATCACTTTGGTTCATAGTTATTCACTTTTTCAAAGATCTTCTCCCCTTAAACTACTGAACCAATTTGACTAAATTTTGGATAAATGATCTTTAAGGTATCTAGTATAAAGTTTGTGTATTTTATTCTGGTCAATCAAAAACATGGCTGCCCTTGCCTTAGAGGTGTGAATTAGTTACCACCAATCTGAATACAAGACTGGGTTATATCAAATTCACATAAAAATATTTTGAAACAATTCTTTCAATTTTTTTTAAACAGGATTCTTCATAATGTTTTTGTCTTTGTTGTTGTTTTAAGCAATGCTTGAGTATTTTCAAATTCATGCACTTGCATCAAATCCAAATCTCGCTGCATTGAAGACCTGTTGGTGACCTTCTGCTGTTGTCTGTTCTATGGTCGGGTTGTTGTCTCTTTGACACATTCCCCATTTCCATTCTCAATTTTAACATTTTATAAAAATCTGTGAGTCATATTAAGTAATTTTGTTGATTTTATCTTTCACAGAAATATTTAACAATTCAGTTAGTGATTTTGAGATTACAGAAAGAGTTGAACTGGTAAGAATTTTAATACTTAATAAGAAAAATAAATATGCTGGATAGATGAACAGAGACAAGGTCAATGAGGAATAAAATGATAATCCAAGGACTAATTGATTGTACTTTAACTGTGTTTTTTTCATACGAAGATTTGCATGGTAGATAACTCATCTGGTTTAAAATATAAAAATAAGGAGATGTGGTATGATTGCCAATGAGAAACTATCAAGTAGAGTTTAAATGAAGTAGATGTAAGCAATTATAGGCCACAGCTCAGCCTTCAACAATGATAAATACCCATTCTTTATAGTCGGGTACAAAAGGCCCCTACATAACAAGTGAAAAACAATTTGAATGAGAAAACTAACATCCTGATTTATGTACAAAACAACAAACGAAAAAAGTATGATATACAGCAACAAACGACAACCACTTCACCACAGGTCCCTGACCAGGGACAGGCACACACAGAGGTTAATCATGTTTGTGGACGCCTAACCCCAGTGTATATTTGATGGTCACTTCATTGCAGTCATTTTTACAGAACAACTTGATATTGTAATACATTGTAGTTTATATATTGTAGGGTCAAATGGCAGCTTTATTTTTCAACAGAGGTAAGTTTGAGAGTCAAATGCTTGCACATCTGAGGGGGTGGACAGAGGTAAAGGAACATGAAAATGAGGGGGCAGGAAGCAGAAGCGGAGTAAAAATAGGGATATTCTGGGAATTATTTATTAAAATTTTTAAACAATTTTCGTCTGGGAGTAAGGGGATGGAAGTAGGAGTAGAAGAGGAGGGAATTTGGAGTAGAGGGGGAGGGAAGTGGGAATCAGGGACCCCCTGTCCACTCCATCACATCTCTTTTGCTATATTATTTTGTGGTCATGATTGACTGAGTTATCTTGAGTGGAGAAATATTGTATTGTGGATTCATTGTTATTCGTGGGATACAATGTACCAACTTTCTTGGATTTCTTGGATATAGTTGAAACAGGAATTTAAATGTTTAACCAAGTACACAAATTTTATATAAGCTTGTATGCAGACTGTGGCAAAACCACAAAATCAAACATCCAAGAAAATGCAACATTTCCTCAACCCACAAAAATATGAATCTATAAATGTGAATCACATGAATCTATATTTATTACATTGTCTGAAAAATTAAGAACTGTAAGAACAATTTTAGTGAATTTCTAATACATTTTGCCTGTTTTAATATCTACAAAATTTATAAGGATGAAAATGAATAAAAAATTTAATCTTTTGAAGACATACATGTATTACTTTATTGAATATATATAAGAAGATGTGGTATGAGTGCCAATGAGACAACTCTCCATCCAAGTCACAATTTGTAAAAGTAAACCATTATAGGTCAAAGTATGGCCTTCAACACGGAGTCTTGGCTCACACCGAACAGCAAGCTATAAAGGGCCCCCAAAACGACTAGTGTAAAACCATTCAAACAGGGAAACAAACGGTCTAATCTATATAAAAAACGAGAAACACTTATGAACCACATCAACAAATGTCAACCACTGAACACCAGTCCTGTAAACAGTGTAAATGTAAGAATTATCTCCAATACACAATTTTTAGTTGAAGTTTTTCTTAAATCGTCAAATCCTTAAAACAGATTACTGTTAGTAAATTCAGAAACTATTGCATGCATTTATTATTGTGATTGTTGGACAATCTACACAAATACAAGTTTAATTATTGCGATTTCAGGAAATGATGGATTGAAATATGCTATCAAAATTTAAATTGCGATTTTTACATTTGTGACAAAAATTTCATCACAAATGTCGCAATTATAAAATAACATCGCAAATATCTTTGAATTTACAGTAATAGGAGATCTGGTGTATGTGGGTAAGAATGCCCTTTATTGTCAAGCGTCAAAGGAGCCTTGATTTTATTGTAATTCTTTAAATCTCATTTTTTAGCTAGCGTTAGCATCAAATGGAGTAAAATATTTATCATTAACGTTATTTTAACAAATATTTTACCGTCATTCGTCATGTTGGGTACTCCATTCCTCCCCTTGTGTATAGATCAATGAGAAAAGCAACCCACTCAAACAAATTACCAAATAACATCTAGAGGTCAATAGACAGGTCAAGCTGTGAATAAATTGAACAGAAACTATCACAGATCTTTTCTCTCAATACTAAACTCTCAAATAACAAAAAAAAAAAGACATACCAGTTGACTTTGGACAGGTTCCATTGATATGTGGCTGTGTTTAACTACTTAACACAATATTGGTATGCTGCTATGTCAGTTATTTCCTGTTTTCATAGCTATTACTTCAAAGAAAATACTGCTTTTTTTATTTGACAACCACTTAAGGGAACTCTACCAACATAGAATTTAGGAGGTGTTGGTTCAGCAGTTCTTTATTAAAAGAAAATAGACAGAAAAAGATATGAAGCAGATCAGTAAGTGTTATTAAACATTATACAGCTATTGTTTGATTTCAGACTGCTGTCTGTCTATGCATACATTTATTATTTATTTCAGTTGGTATATTTCTGTTTTATCTATGTATGGTGCTGTATTTATATGGAGATCTGGCTATTTATGCTGCTGCAGTTCCTAAATCTCTCAGGGATGTTATATGGTAAGACTTGCTTTAAGGGTTTTAGCTAATATATCATATGAGATACAATTAAAATTTCAGTATATACAATAGCTAACACAGACAATAATTCTTTTTTGTTTAAAATCACTTGATAGTTACTTCCCTCCTGCAGCAAAAAAGAAAAGAAGAAAAAAAAAAAAAAAATGACACACACAGAAGCAAATTAACTAGCTCTTATGCAGTGTATTGCAGATTTTTCATTTATAGAATATCAAAACAAATTTTTTATATTAGGTAGACAGTTTACCACACAGCTCCCCCTCACCCGGTTCTTTTACCCTAGAAAATATGTTTATTTGTCACATGTATTGCAGAATGAAACTAAGCTCAGAAGTAAACATGTATATATTAATTATTTAGGTTGATCAATTTATATTCCAAATTCTGTATAGTTATATAAATTTTATGCTTCATTATTCATGATATCTTCATAATAGAAAACAATGCCTTAAAATCAGTGTTCCAATGAAAAAAAAATAATCATCCATTTCAGTAAGCTTTGGAATGTCGTCTTGAGTTTCAGAGTTATCTGACTTAAAAAAATGCATAAAATATTTTTGATCTTGCATATAAAGCAACCAACAAACAATCACTGTAGATGACTTATAATATTTTCAGTACATATAAGTTACCATCTAATGTATCCTGTAACACTACATTAGGAGAACATGATGGATGTTGGAATGGTCATGGTATTTCCAGACTTCAAGCCTACAGAATCATGGTTGTAAGTTGAATAGATTTTATTTGTTCATCACATGCCTAGCATTTATGGTGATGTTTTTTTTATGTAACAGCATCAGATATCTATACCTTCAATAATGATGCAATTTTTACGTCTTTCCTTAAAGAAGTTGAAGAGGAAACACTTAAGTATGCTGTTTGCATTGACAGTACTAGTATCTGTGTCAATAATTGTTTAAGTTTGTGATTATGTCCCTTTATGATAAAACCTCTTATTGTAAGTCATTCATATTTTATAGGCACTTGTATTGTATTGGCACATCTAACTTTTATGGAGTTAATTTGACACTCAGCCATGGTCCATTGACTTTGTGAAAATTTTGCATAGTTAACATGTTAAAGAGTTATATTTTAAATTTCATCAATTGTATTATAATATTACGCTAGAAGACATGTCTTTGTGTCAACAATTGTGTGATTTTGAAATGAGATCACATACATGTAATGTTGTTTAAATCAAGAGGGGACATCATTCATACATTTATGAAAAAAGATAAATTAGATAATGAGGAATTAACTAATGTTTTACATTTTACTAAAACAACATAAAAAAATTCAGGATAAGACAATCATACATTTAACACTAAACAATACCTGCAATGAAAACAGGAGGAGATAACTAATACATTTGACACTAAACAAGATAAATAAAACCAGTAGGAAACAACTAATTCATTTAACATTAAACAATATAAATAAAATCATGAGGAGACAACTAATACATTTAGCACTAAAACAATAGCAATAAAGTCAGGAAGATAATACTAATACATTAAACACTAAAGGTCTAAAACAATATAAATAAAATCAGGAGGAGATAACCAATACATTTAACTCTAAACAATATGAATAAAATCAGGAGGAGATAACCAATACATTTAACTCTAAACAATATGAATAAAATCAGGAGGAGATAACCAATACATTTAACTCTAAACAATATGAATAAAATCAGGAGGAGACATCTAATACATTTAACACTAAAACAATATAAATAAAACCCAGGAGGAGATAACTACTACATTTAACACTAAAACGATATGAATAAAATCAGGAGGAGACAACTAATACATTTAACACTAAAACAATTTAAAAAAAATCAGGAGGAGATAACTACTACATTTAACACTAAAACGATATGAATAAAATCAGGAGGAGACAACTAATACATTTAACACTAAAACAATATAAAAAAACCCAGGAGGAGATAACTACTACATTTAACACTAAAATAATAACATGTGGAGGAGGTTACTGATACATTTATCATTAAAACAACACCAATAAACCAGAAGGAGTTAACTTTTATACAATTTATCCTAAAACAATGTAAGATGTTTAAGATATGTCACTGTGAATTCAATAAAGGTACATTGTATTTTCATTTGTAACAATTAATTAATTGCATGAAAAACAGTATGTTTATTTACAGGCTGTGTTTATAGTGTGCTTAGGACCATTTACCTTCTTTAATGTACAGAAAACAAAATACTTACAGATATTTACTACAATTACTAGGTGGCTAGGTAGGTATTTAGACAGATGTCTTTTATCTGAAAAAGATGAATAATGACAACAGTATGATGCATTATTTTACCTAGCCCCTTTCAAAATTGAGATTTCATCCATTTAGACAGCTATTGTTTCTTCATTTACAACAGAAGTCATTCATCTTATTAATCAGTGTAAACTGTGATCCTATATTCTGGTGGCATTAAATATATTTTGATAAGTCCTGTCATAAATTTATAATATAAAAATAAGATGATGTGGTATGATTGCCAATGAGACAACTATCTACCAGAGACCAAATGAAATAGACGTTAATTACTATAGGTCACTGTACAGCCTTCAACAATGAGCAAAACTAATAATGCATAGCAGGCTTTAAAAGGCCCCTAAATGACTAATGTAAAACAATTCAAATGAGAAAACTAATGGCCTGATTTATGGCTAGAATTGTTTTTGATGTTACAGTAGCTCTTTATCTCCTTATGTCTGTAGATATTAAAATAACTAAAAAAAAAACACAAAATAATCTACTTTGAAACACTGTGTTATTGAGGAAGTTTTCTATTATACTGTAATTTCAGAAATTTTTGCAATGTTTTCCTTATTGCTAAAATTGCAATCGAATAGGTTTGGCAAAAATAAAAATTCACAAGTTTGGTATTATTATTTGTATGCAGCATTTACTGAAATTGCAATAAATAATCTCAAATTTTTTCCATTGTTCAACAATTTCAATAATTAATGTACACAAAGGAGATTTTGACTTCCCAAATAGGTTAAAATTAGAGATTTTTGCGAAATTGGACAAAATTGTCTGGATTTCAACCAAATTAAGACCTAGGAAACATAGAGTGTAGGCTTCGACAAACAAAATATTCAAGTCAGATATGTCATAAACATTAGGTTTAAAATATCTTTGTTGTCAACGCATGTGCTCTATGTTTCCTCTCCAAAAAATCAACGAAATTTACCCATTTTCATCGAATTTAGGGGAAAATCAAAATGAGTGCTAATTGTGACGTCATGAAAAGAACGCAAAACATAAATTTTCAACAAAAAGACGTTTTTCCAATCTAGTCATTATATTACCTATGAGTCCTTGTGACATTGATCAATAAATCCTAATTTCAAATTTCAGCTAGAATTAAGGGCCATTTTAGGGCCTTATCGAACCTACTCCTTTATGAATTTACAAATCTTGTGATCTAATTCTATTGAAAATATTTGTTGCTTGCCACTTAAGATTTACCGACCCCTTATATTTTTTTTTTCATATTTTTTTCAGCTTTCATACTTATGATTGTCCTAGCAGCCATCAGATTAGAAAAAGGTCAAGGAACAGGTCATCCAGTAGTTGCAGACTTTTCAGGAATACCAAATCTATTTGGTGTTTGTATATACTCATTCATGTGTCACCACTCACTTCCATCCTTAATTACACCAATCAGAAACAAGACAGGATTATACGGGTTAATATTTAGTGATTTTACCCTTATATTAGGGTTTTATGCACTTATATCATTTACAGGAATATATGCATTTAATCATCTAGAAGACTTGTATACATTAAATTTTCTACCAGATGACTGCAACCCTTCTCGGTCAGTGACGAACGTCAAATTCTTTGAATATTTCCTGGCATTATTTCCAGTTTTCACGCTAAGCACAAACTTTCCGATTATTTCTGTAACTTTAAGGAACAACCTAAAAACAATGTTTTACAATGAGGAAAGACCATATTCTTGGTTTGTTGATAAAATTGTATTCCCAGTAGCAGCTATTACACCTCCAGTCATAGTTGCAATAATTACCAATGAAGTGGAGTTCTTAGTGGGCATAACAGGATCTTATGCAGGAGCAGGAATCCAGTATGTCATTCCAGCAATTCTTGTATACTGTGCAAGGAAAGAAGTGACTACTTTTTCTCCAGGACATGTTAATCCCCTAAAGTCACCCTTCAAACATATTGCATGGGTTATATTTGTATTGATATGGGCATGTATATGTATTATATTTGTGACTGTCAATCATATCATTAACAAAAAATGATCAATGTTAGTGACTAGTGAATGTGATTTATTGTGAGATTATACTTTCTGTTCTATTTTTTCACTTATTAGTTCATTTTTTTACGGAGTAGTTCATTTTTTTACGGAGTAGTTCATAGACATTTTATACATATGGATTATTTACATTAGTCTTTTCCAATGGAAGTCTTTTTATATATTTATCTTAAAATGTTAAGACCACTTCCTTTTGAAAAAAAATATCTAAATACTGAATGTAGGGTTGGTTATTTTATGCCTTGAAAAATAAAAAGAATCTGATAGTTTTTAGCTTATCAAAATTTTGCAAATTTGGAAATAAAAAAATAAAAATTGTTAAATCATATTATGTCCATTATAAATGAAGGTATTTAGATTCTTCAACTACATCAAGTGTGATACAATATTTATCCACTTGAGGCAGTTAAATTTTGAAATTTCAAACGCGAGGCTCGCAAAAAGATCTGCAAAAAGATGTGTTCTTAATTTCTAAGTGACGTCATCAGACATGGTTGCCTTATTTCATGACGTCACAATAGGAAATTCAGAGGAAAGCAAGAAAATTTGACATCATAATTGAATTTTGACCAATAAAGAATTGAGATCAAACGAACCACACGTTGATTAAATAAAAATAATCAACAGGTCAGGAAAAGTATAAATCGACAAAGAATTAGAGAAATCATATTATGTCCATTATAAATTCAGGTAGATTTTTATAAGCAACATGTTAAAAGATGTTGATTAGAAAAGTTGCAGACTTCAATAATACATTTCTACACTGCCACATTGTAGTCTGATCTTGAGGTAGATTGGGGTCTAGATCAAAATCGCTAGAATTTTAAAATAATTTGTCAAGATGTAGTTTATATTTTGCTTTTTCAAAAATACAATAAAAATTATGAATCATGGAACTTTTTTCAAGCTTTAGGTTGTGCAAAATTGTAAGATTATCCATGGAAAAATCAAATTTTGTGTGATACAAAAATACTAAAGGAAAGATAGCTCTTATAATGTGCTTTCAGAAAATAAAAATAAAAATTGGGGTCACATGACTAGTTTTCTTCATTTAGATAAACAATCTTACAAACTAACTACAGTTGTCTCTCAAAATTTGCATATTTCATTAAATATTAAGACCAATTGTTTTCTGCTATTTTACAATCCAAAATGGCCCAATACACCCAATGTACCATAACATCAAACATTAGTGCAATACAATTTTGGGAGATATACAGACTTACAATACTTGGTTATATCAGAAGTATTAGTTGTCTTTATTTTGTTGTTGAAGTATATGCATATGTTTGTTATTTTTCATGTTTGTTGTATATTGTGGATTCATTATTAATCATGTATTACCAATTTTCGTGGATTTAGTGAGCAAATCTGAACAACAAATTTAAATGTTCAACAAAGTACAAACTTTCTATATAAGTTTTGATCACAGATTTTGACAAAACCATTAAATCAAATATCCTCGAAATTACAATTTTTTCAATCAACAAAAATTGGTACCCATGAAAATAAATGAAACCACAGTTTATAATGTAGTTCAAATAAATAATATTAAAGCAATGCATTTTGTTTGTTTGATTAAATGCAACTTGGTTATTTAATCCATATTAAAGTTTGAAGGCCAGTATAAGTTTTTGCTATCACAATGGTCACCTGGCATATGTCAGCCGTACACTTTATAAGATATGCTCATTTGAAACTACTGAACCAATTGGAAAAAAAACTATTTCACAAGATTGATACTTAGGCTAAAGATATAAGAAGATGTGGTATGAGTGCCAATGAGACAACTGAACTCTCCATCCAAGTCACAATATGTAAAAGTAAACCATGATAGGTCAAAGTACAGCCTTCAACACGGAGCCTTGGCTCACACCGATATGTAGATTAAAGTTATTAAACAAGAGGATAAAATGCAGGTAGTTAAACCATATTTCTGTTCAAAGGGAAATAACTCAAAGTTATTCCATGAACCAGTAATGATAACACAAGTTTATGGATTCTGTTCAATTAATTTTAGTCATTAGTTGTCAAAATTTCTTTATAACTATTTTTTTAAGTCATGTGTGTTATGAAGGTAGATGTCACAGTTGTTATGTGGTGTTTTATTTTTGTTGTGTGTGTTAATGTTTAATTTTTACATGATCCTGTTTGGGGTTCAGATTTGCAAATATCATTTTCATTATTTATTAGATAATAATCTATTTTAAATATTCAATCACAATCCAAATTCAGAGCTGTTTTAAGCTTAAATGTTGTGTCCATACTTGTTCAACTGTTCAGGGTTCGGCCTCTGCAGGAAAATCCGGTTTGCTGTCACTCGTCAGCCTCTTGTTTTCACCATCTATTGAAAACAATTTTATTTTGTCATCTCAATACTGCATAGCATCTTTCACATAGACAGCATGGCTCTTGGTGTAGGTTGGGGAGGGATTGGTTTCTGCTGTTTTTTAAGTCCATTTCCTGTCGTGTGATATTCCTGGAGCCCATCATACATGTACCAAGTCTTTTGGATTCTGATGGAGCTGGTGAAATGTCCACCATTTCCATATGAAATGGCTTGGATGGTATATCTGAAAAGGTAAAGTTTTCCACACTTTAATATTTAATACAACGTGTACCAGGAGAAGAACTTCTTTATAATATAAGCAAGTGGGATTTTTATCAAATAATTACACTACATTCATTTGAGTTCATTTTTGTTGTAATTGAGTAATGTGTTAACTTGTATGAAGTACCTTGCAACAAAATCTTAATCTTACCTTGTACTCAGACATATGAAAAGCATTTGGTGATAAATGAGAGTAAAATGAATTGAGTTGTACAACAAAACATTTTGAAAATGTAAATAGACCATTTTGTATTTAACAATAGGCAATCTTTTTACCATGCTTTCATGAAAATAAAGTCAATTTTCCAATACACTTTGAAGTTTGAGTCTTCATTATTCTTTCCAAGACACATGGGTTGCCTTGGGCTGATATTTTATCCTCATTGGATTGTTGTCTCTTTGACTTAATATTCACCATTTTTGTCGAGCCTTCGACTTTAGTCGAAAAAGCGAGACATAGCGATCCTACATTCCGTCGGCGTCGTCGTCGTCGTCGTCGTCGGCGGCGTCCACAAATATTCACTCTGTGGTTAAAGTTTTTGAAATTTTAATAACTTTCTTAAACTATCCTGGATTTCTACCAAACTTGGACAGAAGCTTGTTTATGATCATAAGATAGTATCCAGAAGTAAATTTTGTAAAAAAATAAATCCATTTTTTCCGTATTTTACTTATAAATGGACTTAGTTTTTCTGCCGGGAAATATTACATTTACTCTGTGGTTAAAGTTTTTAAAATTTTAATAACTTTCTTAAACCATCCTGGGTTTGTATCAAACTTGGACAGAAGCTTGTTTATGATCATAAGATAGTATCCAGAAGTAAATTTTGTAAAAAAATAAATCCATTTTTTCCTTATTTTACTTTTAAATGGACTTAGATTTTCTGCCAGGAAACAACACATTCACTCTGTGGTTAAAGTTTTTAAAATTTTAATAACTTTCTTATACTATTTTGGATTTGTACCAAACTTGGACAGAAGCTTGTTTATGATCAAAAGCTAGTATCCAGAAGGAAATTTTGTAAAAAAATAAATCCATTTTTTCCGCATTTTACTTTAAATGGACTTAGATTTTCTGCTAGGAAACAACACATTCACTCTGTGGTTAAAGTTTTTAAAGTTTTAATAACTTTCTTATGCTATTTTGGATTTGTACCAAACTTGGACAGAAGCTTGTTTATGATCAAATGCTAGTATCTAGAAGGAAATTTTGTTTTCTTTCAGTTAACATTACATTCAGTCTGCAGTTAAAGTTTTTAAACATTTATTAGATTCATAAACTATCCTGGATTTTTACCAAACTTGGACAGAAGCTTCTTACAATCAAAAGATAGAGTATCAAGAGGAATAATTTTATTGATATACCTCCTCATTTTTGTTGAGCCTGCGATTAGCAGAAAAAGTAAGCGAGACACTGGGTTCCGCGGAACCCTTACGAATTTTTTTTAATTTCATCGGTCATTTGTAATTTTGCCTTTGTGTCGCTGAATACTGAACAGTTTTAGTTTAACTTCAAACTAACTACATGCATGCAACTTCATATTGAGTATGGTCAAACTCCTAGGTAGATGACTATGGGGTGCTGATATTATAAATCATAGAAATTTTATACTGATAGTGATACTATATACATTTGATGCAGCTATATATACTATTAAATGATTTAATAATAGAAACAAACCTTATCGTTCCCTGTCACTTTTTAGTCAGGGTTCTTTCTTCTCTTTCAGTTGGTAAAAATACACGATGTCCAACATCATGTTTTAAATTAGGCAACAATTATTTTTTTTTAAACAAACTTTTTTTTCTCTCTTCAATGATGTGTCAAATTATTTTTTCCACATATTCCAGAAAAAAACTTTTTTTTCCCAAAAAAATCCATGGGTAAACAATTACGATCTATTAGGTCCAACAAAAGATTTTTTAAAACCGAAACGAACAGTGCCAAAGTTGACATCCAGGAATCAGTGAAAAATTCGATACACTCGGGTTTTTACCTCTATGAATATTTAAGATGTAAAACCCAAGAGTACCGAACTTCTCATGCGTAACCGACATTTGTGTTGATTTTTACCCTGGCCCAATGCTAATTAACAAATGATAGATGTAATACCACCAATTCATAGTAAGTTACATCCGGTTTCATGCAAAAAAGAGTCGAAAAAAATATTCCCTTGAATTTGCCAGTTGTAGGAAATTAATTCTACATTTTATTGCATTAAAACAATTCTAAGTCATTAACTGTCTATTCTACTTACTAGTACACTTGGTACAATCAAAAACCTGGTAATAAATTATTCAAATAAGGCCTTTGAAAATAGTGGAATTTATTACTTTTGGAGTGTCAAAAATTCGTTGGAACTACTTGATAAATTGCATGCTCATATTGGTGTTTTCGAATCGGTTCAAAGTTTTGATTTTTCTACCCTATAAACCACTTTGCTTCATATAAGAAAAAAATGACATACCTTATTAAATGGGTATTTAAAAAGTCAGAATGCGAATATATATGTTCAAACTCTTTTAGGTAATTTTTTAGTAACAACAAACAAAAGAACTATGCCAATTGGACCTGCTTTGATACGATAACTGCACGTGAATTTTTACTAGATAACATTTTTGTTCGCTATGGAGATTCCGTATATCGTCAAGTTATCGGAATTCCAATAGGGACTAACTGTTATTGCGGACCTGTTTCTGTATTGTTACGAGTTACAATTTATGACTAAAATCAGCAAAAACCCATCGAAACAACATCTGATACAAAAATTTAATAACACTTTTAGATATTTGGATGATATATTGGCTCTCAATAATGACGACTTCAATATGTACACTAAAGAGATTTATCCTGCTGAACTGACTTTAAATAAAGCTAATACTAACAACGAACACTGCCCTTTCCTGGATCTTGATATCTATCATTTTAACGGAAAGCTTAATACTAAGATTTACGATAAAAGAGAGGATTTTTCATTTCCTATTGTTAAGTATCCATTTTTAGATGGTGATTTTCTCTTGGCACCGTCCTATGGTGTTTATTTAACTCAACTTTTTCTATTTTCTCGTGTATGTAACAACGTATTTGATTTTAACGAACGAAATCTCTGTATTACTGGAAAACTATTACACAAGGGTTTTCGATATCACAAACTTGTCAAAACATTTACTAAATTTTATTATCGGTGCAATGACATCATTCGTAAATATAAACCAACGTGCAGTCATTTTATACGTTCAGGTATTTCGCATTCCATCTCACTACAAACCAGTAAAAGTCTTAAATGGACTATATTTGTACTCGACTGTACTGATTTTTACTCGACCAGTCTGAATTGGTCTGAAATTTACTTGATAATACTCGACTGTAGTCTCAACCATACTTAACCGTCTTGTATTTCATCAATTTAGG